TGTCATTTCCATACTAGATAGCTAAATCCGATTTCTTGTTCTTGAAAAACCCACCTCCAGTATAGCATCAATTGGAAACTTCATACTGTTTTTAGGTCCTTGCTCTCAAGAGGAAATAAACGTCAGGCACTAATGCCAGAATTCAGCTTGGTGGTAAAAATAGCCCCTGGTTTGGCCTGATCATGTTTCCTCTTGCTCAGGGAAAGACTCTGGTGTGAACCAGCCTTGCATAAATTAATGGAGAGCATTGCCCGTATTTTGTGTATATTATGCCCTTATATTTGCAATAAACTTTGAGAGAAAGGCTCAAATGTGATATGTTATAGGAAGTTATTAATATTTTTTTATTTTGTACCCCAAACTACTGATTATAATTTGAAAAAAATAGATTGCCGTATAGTTATCCCCATAAAGTCTTACTTTCTATATACAACCAGTTTAAATGGGCACATATTACTGATGATGAAGGGGATGATAAAAAGCTGAAAAAGAGAGCACCACGGGTAATGTGAACCTTTAGTGGCTTGACTGGCATGGATGGGATAAATCTTTCCATTGCCACTCTATTTTCAAGAATTCTAAAACCAGAGAGTGATGTCAACTGTGACCATCTTTATGAAAACAACACCTTTTTTTTTTCCTAATATGAACACATAGTTCTAAGAACTACACTTGAGGCTAGGAGGAGGCGAGAACTCTGTACCTAGAGAGGAGAAGATAAATTTGTAGTTAGTATTTTGATTTGTAACAAAAGAAAGAAATGTAAGTTGGTAATCTCTAAAATCTGATGGCTTCATACCTAGTTCACAGATAATCAAAGGCACAAGCTCAGTGCCCTCATTTCAAGTTTGCCAGACCACATAGAGTTACTCTCCAACCCATCCTAGACTGATGCTGCCCTTTAAGGACCAGGGCATTCTCCAAGCTGCTTCCTGGAAAGCAGTATGTTCAGGTACCAACTCCACCAGCACTGATTCATAAGGAGTCCAAGACACTGATTACATCTTAGCCTCAAAAAGGGGCCTTCTGGAAGGTTTTGAGACTGGGTGAGGCATTTGGAGGTGTAGTTCTGTTGCCAGCGCTTTAAAAGTTCTGAGAAAACTTCACAATCAACAAATAAAAACATCTAAATGCCAGACCCATCAGCAAAGAAGGTTAGTGCTATTTTCATTGTCAGCTAAAAAAAAAAAAAAAAAAAAAAAAAAAAAAAAAAAAAAGATAAGCATATGGGGCAATTGAAAGGTTACATCTTTCTTTTGGAGGTGGTTTGCTTCTTAAAGGTTAACCTGAATGCTTGACTTTAAAAAATCAAAATCATCAGCTGCAAATGCTTAAAGCAGTTGGGGGTAGCTTTTGAAGAAGAAAACAAAGGATTTGAAATATTTGAAAATTACTTAGCCCCCATATAAATGGTGCTTGTGTATTTATATGCTTACTCTACAAATGTACACACACACATACCACAACTCACTTCTCTTCATTTGTCAAATATGATTGCTTGTACTCAGGCATTTTTTGTTGACACAATATAACTTTTTAATAACTTGTTAGCTATTCTAATAATTTGATAGTATCTAGACTACAATGCAGTCAAAATATGAACCAGGATGGGTTTCTGCCTAAATCAAAATCCACAGCTACACACAGAAACCAGCCATTTGCAGCATGTTCAGCTCCTGCTAAATAGCATCTAACAATGTATTTCGCTGTTCACATTCATGTATTTCAAAACCTAATAGCCCATGAAGAAAAGTATGAAGAATACATCTCAAGAAGCAGACATTAAAGGTACCAGCAAAATAATAGACTACATTTAAGTTTGAAGCATTATTTTAGGTAACCTACATCATTAATGACTTTTTCTTTGTGGTGGGTGTTGGAGAAGAGAATACATAAGAGAGATTGGCATAAATACCAGCTTCTACTGCAAAAGTTCCTTTCCTGTGAGTGGGATTATTCACAAACATACAGTATTCCCCTAATGATTTTTTAAAAAATGATTTGGTCTTCAAAGTCTAAAATAAAATTAAAATATGAAGTAGTTTTGAAGTAAATATTTACCCCTAAAATTTATCTTTAAAATATCCTACTAAATCATATATCATAGTATGATATTTAATAAGTATATTGTCATATTAAAAAAAGACACCAGGTACATGACAAATAATAAGACATTTATATTTTCAAATTTGAAGTAAACTGCTTTTAGGAATGACCAAAGAAAAAAGTCACTCATTTACTATCTTTCTAAGTGCACTAACAAAGTTACAAAAGTATTGTTGCTATTATTATGATGCTTGTTATCATTATCATACTCATATCAGGCTCCCATACATTCTGATCTCTAATGGAAAGGTGAAGGATTATTAATCGAGGTGTTTATCTTTCTTTCGAGAGAGAGGAGCTATCATTATTCCTCTTTCTATTTTTGTTAATTATTGGTCGTAATGTGTGGAGTCACTTCGAATATGCCACTGTTAATTTCAAACCTCCAAAGCCAATTGGGGCCAGCTTTTGGTCTCACAAATTTTTAGGTGTTCAGCTTCCTAAAATCTCTCCAAACCTTGCAAGGTGGCGCTCTTTTCATGAAAGGTCGATATTTACTGTTAAAATCACAATAACATTTTTCGAAAAGTTAAACACCACAATCCTCAGTTTTTGATGTGCTACAGAAAGTGCAGCAAATCCCATCCTTAGCCAGTAAAACTTTGTTGACTAAAAGTGACAAGTACAAATAGCAAGAAATGAGAAGAGAGGTCAACAAAGGATTTTTAAAGAGAATTTAACATTTTGGTTTTGTAATTGGTCAATGGTATACTCCAAAAAAATAATGTCACTTTAAAATAGATGTGACTATGTATGGGATTCTCATACTTTTGAGGGGTTTTCCTTCTCAGAGTCAATATGGCCTGTGACTTCCTGAACACAGATGGTATGTTAGGCAAGCAGGTCTGGGTTCCTCCTTGCCCACAGTGAGGTCAGTTTCTGCCTCCTACTCTGACACATCCATACCCTTGCAGCTACAGCCAAGGCCCTGATTTGTGATCTCTGGCTACATCCTCTGCTTAATGGGGTGATCATGCAAGCTACAACCAGAGACAAAGAAGCTGGCGTTCCTACCAGCACAGCTAACTTCCAGGGAGCAGCATAGCTTGCAAATCTATCAAACTAAACTGCAAGAAAGACAATCTGATTTAGAGAAAAGGCGTTCTGCTACAGTCATTAAGCACAAGTAATTTAGATTTTTTATATTGTCTCCTCATTTACAAATTTACTGTATCAACGCCAGCCAATGGAACAAATTTCTTAAGTAAATGAGAAATAAATAAAAGAGATAGAAAGATAATCAAATTACATAAAATAATTCTCTTCCCTAGATGTATTTTTGAGAGAACTAATAAAGTGGCAAAATTATAGGAATAACATATCATAGGAAGTAATTAATTTAAATTAGCATCACGTTTGAAGAAATATAAGTAAAACGCTTTATGGACGTTTACTTTCGTGCAAAGAAGGAAGGCCTGGAAAAGCATGCATCGACATCCTGAAAATTAGTTATGGCCATAAATGGTTTAATTGAAGACAGCAATTTAAAATATGATATTGTAAATCTGCAACTCGGTTTCAGCCCGGGGAACTTAATTTGGGGGGCAGCGGAACCCTCAGCTGCAAGTTCATTTGCAGCGCTGCAGAGCGAGCCCCTGAGCTTCTGACAATTCGCCTACATTAATATTGATGTCGCCTGTGCAATCTATTTCTGTTATTTTTATGGTTGTTATTCTACGTCTGCAAAGGTCATTTAAATTATACTGCGGCCGAAAATTTGTTTCATAAATTTTGATATAAATACTAATTACACTCTCTCGGAGAGCCAGCAGGGTAGCGTTCATTTATCACGTTTATACGACCTGCAATGACAGAAAGGGAAGGCGAGGGAGACTGGAGAGCTTTTCCGAGACCCACTAAGGCTGGCAGAAGAGGCAGCAGGTTGCTGGGAGTGAAGAAGAAATTCCTACCACAATCACCGAGATTTAAGAATCTTTAATAAGGTACGAAAGGTTACCAAACAGTTCTGGAAACTAAAGTGTACATACGAGTTCTTCTAGCCATAAATATTGAATAGCTGTAACATGAATAAACCGGCCCTTTACATGCGGATAAATATGGAAACTAGGAATTATATACATTATGTGGTTGTATCTTTTGCCAAAAGCAACGGACAGTTATAGTTTATATCCTTTTTTAATATCACTTTACATAAACAAATGGAACAGTTTGACACGCAGATCCAGGCTCGTACTATACGAATTCTTGACAGGACGAGAAACGACATTTTACTGCACTAAAGTACTTAGACTTTGGGACGAAATGTTTGCACTTTATACAAAAAAAGCACATTAATACCAATAATATTCTGTTAGGTCGACGTGGAGACTGTAATCGTACAAAGTAATTCACATTTTGGTACACATTTACTAGAACATTCTTGCCATTCAGTACAAACAGTTGGCTTTCGGCCGCCCACCCC